CTCTTCTATTTTATTTAGACTGGTTGCAAGTTTTTAATTTTTAGTTCCCTGTAAAAATTTCGTATAGCATTTCATATAGCTTTTTTTTATATTGTATTGAAATTTAGTTTTTTTAATATTTGCTGCATATAATTGACAATAAAATGTTGAGTGACAAGACATAATTCATAAATTTCATACATATTTCTAAAAATATATTACAAGACGTATTAAATATTAATAAGTAACTGATTTTTTTTTGAAAATGAAATATTTATATTCAATTTGAACATTGGTTAATATTACTATAAGTAATTCAACAATTATTCGATAAATGTTAAGCATAGAAATCACATAAAATCAATAAAATTCAAAATTATTTATAATTGAATGTAAAGTAAGATAAGAGTATAATAAAAAAAATTTTTTCACATTTTTACAGATGGGATAAGATGAATCCCTATCAGCCAGGAAATTCTTATCGCGATAGTATCCATCCATCTGTGACTTCCTTTACCTCCATGGATGGCAGGTCGACGCGCTTTCGCAATGAAATATATCGAAAGGAAACTATGACCGCTACCGGTTTTACTCTTGACCAGCAACATCAGCAACAACAACAGCATCAGCATCAGCAGCAGCATCACCACCATCACCATCATAGGTATCGCAAGGACGCTGGACAGATAACGAGGAGCTATAATCAAGCATCCCCCACTTCGGTTCTACCTCCGAATTATCCGGGAATGCAGAACTATGGTTTTCCCACGGCTGAATATCAAAAATATTATGGTGGGATTAAGGAATATAATAGAGGGGTTGGTTCAACTCAGGCAACAACACCGAGCATGATGAAATATTCGGATCCGAATCTGGCTGTCGCCATGCAGGAAAAATATCTTCCAAAGCAAGCACAGTACCAAGTGACTAACGGCACAATGGTGCAGAATGGAGTTATTATGCCAAATTCCGCAAACATGACCGCAAGCATGACCAATCCGTACTTTAATCCACAATTAGGTACGTCATTTAATAATTTCTTTGACTTTATTTTCCACAGCATACTTGTTATTTTACGCGGCCACGTTTCTCCCTAAACGCATTCTGATTGCAAATGTAATCGCAAAATGAGGTAGCTCGAAATTAGCCTTTCTATTGCGCGATTAAGTATGAATAACTCGTTCACAAGTATCAATCTGCGATTAAAAATTTATTTAATTTCTTTTCGGAATTTTTATAAAGTCTTCCAATTAATTTTTTATTCTAACAATAAATGGTTATAATGAATTGAAATTTTTTAAAACAGTGCTTTAATGCTCGTTTTATAAGTCTAATAATGCATTATTTTAAATACAAACAAATAATTTTATTATACTTTAACTTATTTGCAAGTAAAATGACTAAAATGTACAACGTGAAATAATGTAGTCAGTTACATTATTTAATCATACTTTGAAATTAATCTAAATGTAAGAATAATTGGAAAAAGTAAAATTAGAAATTAATTGATTTGGTTTCAACATTGTTTATTTTATACACATATTACTTATAGATATTTAAAAACATTCCATTCGAATTATATTAAAGTTTTTCATTTTAAATAGAAATATTCCTCAATTAGATTATTTATTAAACATAAGTTCGAATTTTCTTTTATGAACCTTTTCGAATTGTACATACTAATATACAAACACATCAGTCATAATTTGCATAAATTTGCATCATTTTTGCAATTGTGCAACTTACTGTAAATTTGTTGCATTCAATCATTTATGCTAAAAATATAAATTATATACAAATTAATAATAAAATACCAAATTTACTAATTTATCATGCAAGTGTATTGTTAATTACTGATTTATAATGCGATTACTATTATTATATAATCTAATTTTATTTTTGGGTATATTATTAACAATTAACTGTTAATCTTTAAAATGTAAATAAATTAACTTTTTTTAAAATAAATTATTTTATGAAGTAAAGAAACTTGGATAAAGTATCAATAGTTCAATGACAAATTTATATTAAAATATAATGATTGTATGCTTATGCGTGAAAAAATCGTTACCTTATGTGAAAGTGTAAAAGAAAATTAAATTCCAAATTTTTTAAAATTAATTTTATATGCTTATATTCTTTTCTTAGTATTGAAATTTTTATACTGTTAACTAGTTAAATACGTTATAAAATATAAATTTGTATAAAGTTATTTTTAAATATTATTTTCTACGAACGTATTTGTAGTCTCTATTTTCGACTTGACAGATCGTTTGCTCTAAACTTTTATAGAACTATGAATATTATAAATATTAACATCAAATTTTTAATTCATTGAATTTTTTCATTTTTTTTTTTTTTTTTGTTGAAGTATACAGTAAAAATATATTCAAATATAACACTTTTTAAAAAATGAGAATTGAATTTATATTTTTCAACCGGTTATAGTAAATTACAGTAAAACTATAAATAACGAATAATATCGGAATACCTACATAAGCTTTTCTTATGATATAATATTTAAATATGTTGTGATAAGAAAACCGTAAAATTATTTAAAATGTATTCATTTCGTTAGTACATGCAAGTATGTTAGATATATTCTTGAATGTGTATACTAAAAAATACGCTCATAGGTAATATGGGTATTTTTAAATCAGAATGTGTAATTAATTTAATCTTTTGTAAATAAAGAATTGTATTACTGAAGTTATAATAATAATTCTTTCGATAAATGTAAAAAAATAAAAAAGTAATAGATTCCAATATATTTGTCTGTTTGAATGAAAATCAGCGAGGGACTTATCAAGTGAATTTCCATGTAAGACCTCAGATTCAAAGGATCAAGAAGGTCGTTTGGGTCCGCTTTCAATATCTTTGCAATCCAAACATCTGTATCAACAGAAATTTGCGATGCAGAGGTTGAACATTGAGAATCATCTGCGCGAGTTTTCGCGCATTCCTGGCTACCAAAATCATCCAAAATATCAGGAATACCTTATGAAATATCGAGAATCCATGAGACTACAACAGAGTATAGATTATCAAAGTAATATGCAGTCCAGTATGAATACACAGGTACAAGCTCCGCCACTTTCGATGCCACCAATTAATTTGCAATTCGATCAGAATGGCATATTAATCAACTCGAGTCTTATTCCCGGGTACAATCCAAATTTGCAGACAACGATACCTACAATGCCGAATTCATTGAGTTCTGAAAAGGATTCCAGTGCAATTTCATATGATGGTGAGCATCCCTGATATGTAAAATCATATTTTACATACATATCGGAATACTGTTTCTCTCTCTCTCTCTCTCTACCCCCTATATATTTATATATATATATATATATATATATATATATATATATGCAAGCATTTATTACATATCAAATTATTTATAAAGTATTTAATTTAATTAAATTTAAATTTCAGAACATTAAAGTTTTTAGACATACGTATATCACATATTTAAAAACATATATATTTATAATTTATAATTTTATAATTAAAAATGTTAAGGTATTTTTTGTAAATTTCGCTTTGATCTTTAGATTTATTCAAATATAATAAAATTTTTGTGCCATTTATCATCAGTTAAATTAAATGATTTGAGTATAAAATATTATGAATTAATTTTTAACGTGTAAATATTACTATAAATAATTGATACGATCATTGGTAATGAAGTTATTTAATTAATAATTATTTTACATTCATTAATTTTGCACGTAAATATATAATTTAATGTAACATGTTAATTATATATTTTTTTCTTTCGGAAGATGCTTCCTTTTTGTTTACTAACTAATAAGGATTCAATAATAAATTAATTTGTAAAATATTTAAAGTAAATTAGGACTAATGTTTTCTTATGTTATTTTAATTATATATTTATTCTTATGTTTATACAATTTATAATTAATATATTAACATGGTAGTATATTTTGATTAAGTATTTAAATATTAAAATTGAATTATTATAATAATTGTTGGAAATATTTTGCATGATATGGCGATGATTTTAATAATAAAAGGCCATTTACATTATATTTTTTATTTTAGTATATAAAAACATATTAAAATTGATCCAACAGAAAGAATATTTTTAAAAAATCTTAACACATTTTATTACATAAGTAATGATCTTTACACTAAAATAAAGCTAAATAGTCAGATTGTGTCGTATACTATAAAATAACCGCATATTTTATTAATAACTTTTTATACTTTCAGATCAATTGAATAATAAATAATAATCAACAAGAACCCATAACTTTCATTAATAACGTAGTTTATTTGATTCAAAGTACAAAAATATACAAAATGTTAAATATAAAAATATAGAAAATTTTAACGCATCACTAGGCAAAGCAATGCAAGCAATGGAACATGTGCTGACATGCGTTGGACAGCAGTCTCAGCAACAACAGCAGCAACAGCATCATCATCATCATCATCATCAGATGACACCTACAACGACAGGGTCACACCCAATTATGCAATCCAGTTCAGAACAACATCAACACCAACATTATCTTACGCAGCGCAATCTTGAAGAGTATCAAACAGTGCATCTTCATCATCACCAACAACATCAACAGCTACAACAACAGCAGCAGCAACAGCAGCAGCAACAACAGCAGCAGCAACAGCACAATCGTAAGCAACAACAGCATCAGCTCAATGACGAGATGGCGATTGTATGTTCAGATGTCCATCAGCAACAAAAACCCAGTAAAGATTTTGCAGATAAACCTGAGCTGGATGTAAGACAATTTCTTGCTAACTGGGATGAAACAGAGGAAGAGGATAGCATAAATGGAAACTTGCAAAACGTGAGTAAAAGTTTTCCGTTATATAAATTACGCTAATTGAATCTGTCTATATAAAATAATAATATAAACTAATAATAGTGAAGAAAGAATTTAGTAATTGCGCTATAATTGCTTAAAAGATATTTACATATATCTTTATACATTTACATCTTTATCTTTCTATAAGATATTCTTTATATTTATTTATATATATATATATATATATATATATATATAATAAATTTTAAAGTTATTTGACTTTAAAAATTGTCCTTTTAATACATAAACCAATTTTAATTATTAACGTTATTAATATATAGTTATAATACTATAAATATACTTTTTACTACTATTTAACTAAAATATAATATAAAATAATATAATATAAAATAATAAGCTTACAATGTCTAAAAGTATAAAATTTTCTCAAAATAAATGTTCAACTTTATATATTAATAGACACATACAGTAAAATCTGCATTGTTAATTGTACATTTAATTTTACTCGATTTATAATATAGTACTCATTTCAATTTCTAAACATAATATATTTTATATTAATTAATGTATTAAATGGTTTTCCCAAAGATTAATTATTAAAAAATTTCTTTATATTATGTAATTAAAATATAGAATTAAAATAAAATCATTATAATAGTAATTAAAGTTGAATATCAAATAATGATATTATATTTAATATCCTTATTATATATAAATCACTTATTTAAAAATTAAATCAGAAAAAGAAAATTCTTTTAGGACCTAGAAATTTGTAGTATGTAAATTTTTTATACGCATACAAAATATAAGTTATTTATTTTTAATTTCAAATCATTACTTTTATTAATAATCTTCTAAATAAAATTATGCTGTAATTTATCAGGATTATAAAAGCATACTATTGCCCATTATCTTTCAAATCAATATATATTTAAAAGTTAAATGGAATTTAATATCTATTACTTTATATCATTTGATTTTGTAATTAGTAGTTCAATATATATCTAATTGATATAAGATTTAAGTCAACGAAATTTACTTACACAAACGCATCTCAATTACAATTTTAAATTATTATAAGATTAGAACATGCTGATGTGAAATTGATAATACAATACCTTTTATAAGGTCAAATAAATCAAAAGATTTTGCTTTAATTTATATAATATGCTATTATTAATTTTTATTATTAGATTAATTGTTAGTTAAAAATAATATTAAAAAAATCTTGGTAATTAATCTTTGATTTATTCAATATCTTATAATAATGCTAATTGTATATTTGTTATCTATATATATATATATATATATATATATATACTCTATATCTATATATAGATATAGATATAGATATATAGATAAGTATCATACATATATCATATAGAAACTGTATAGTTAGCATATTTACAAACCAATTGAATATAAAATAGAAAACACGTATGTGTATAGGCAATGTGTACGAATTTAAATATATACATACCATATACTTATTTTTATATACAAATATATGCATTTTTATAATCTAGTTGGACTGTTACCTAATTAATCAATTTAATAATAAAATAAAATATTAAGTTTTCAAACTTTAAACTTTAGTATAAATGTAATTAATATATTATATTAAAATATTTTATTCATTTAAATCCATTATCTCGTTTTAAATACTTTTTACAATATAAAAAGAAAAACAGGGTTTTTTTTATTTATAATGTTATTTGTATATTATTAATTAACTATGTAATTAAAAACAATGAGTAATTTTAAAACTAAATTAAATTAAAACAAGAATATTTGAATTTAAAACATTTTGTCATTAATTTGGTTTTTTAATTTGTTTAATATAATAATTATATAATAATTTAATATGATATATAATATAATAATATAATAATTTTAAAAAATAATTAATTAATTTGTCGTTAATTAATCAAAATAAACAATCTAAATCATAAATTAACAGGTAATTAATTTAAAGGAAAAGTTTTGTTATCGTAATTTTGTTTATCATAGGTTGTTTATAACAAGACATTTTTAATAATGTAAAATTATTTAATGAATAATATTTTGACATTTCATTTTTTTTAATTTTACTATTAAAATCTATAGTTTAAATTACGTATCGATTAATATTTTGCCATTTATTATACAATTATAATTTTTACTATATTTTAACAGTTAATAGAATATAATGATATTTAATATTTTTAACTAAATATTTTAGTTGTAAGTATTATAATTTATGTTAGTTTTAGTTTTAAGTAATTTAAAATTTGTTCGTCATGACTATTCTAATTATAGATATTTTTATAATTTTCAAAAGAATGTATAATATGTTAAGATCAGTTAACATTTTTTTAATTGTTTTAAAACAATGAAATTTTTTTATTTTGTAATAGTTTTACAATAATTAGATTAGTAATATATTATAAACCTTTGATCCCGAAAAAATTGTTTATAAAAGAGACAACGGTGTGGAAGTTCAAATTTTCTCTAAAAACATTATTTTTCTTTCTATTATACATTCTATTATAATTTTCATCAAAAACGTAAATAGCCAATTTATTTCTTTAATTGTAAATATAAATTGTTTAAAAACAAATTAGTAGATATAATTGGTTAGAAATGCGCAATTGCTTCTTCATAATTTTCTATTATAATCCTTTTCTATTTAACTGTCTATGTATTAAAATGATAGTCATATATATAATTAATTATATTTATAATATTCAATAAGAAAAAAATTTTTGTTACATAAAACGAAATTTATTTAGACACAAACTAGAGCTAAAGAATAAATAACATTTGATAAAATTTAATGTAATGTTTACACTGTGAATGGATATTTTACATATTGTCGATTAATATCACATATTTTTTTTTAAATTCTTTGTAAACGCAGGTCATATTAACAGAAAACACTCCAATTGTTGTACTCGAATATGAAAATCTGAATTTGTCTACCGACAATTTGACTACTCAAGCGATTTGCGTTTCAACGGAAAAAGAGAGCGCAAGTTCATCAACTGTTTCTTTGTCCGTACCACCATTCAAGTCTACCGACATGGATGAGACGACCAGTACAAACCTTATCAGTTCATCTTCAAGGAATATCAGTGAGAAGCAAATACCAACAACAGTCAATATAATAAGGTGTATTACAAGTGCTGCAGTCAACTGCGACGATGTGCCTACTATTCATATAGTGGACACCTTGGAAAACGAAGCAGTCGTAAAAAAAATCGAAGGCGCTTTCCACAACCTTAATCCTGCTGACATCAGAAGCATTGAGGAACTGGTAAATAAGAGCGGCACTAGTAATTCTATCAATAAGGAGGAGAAGATATCGCTTTCGTTTCTCAATGCGGCGACAATACTGCAAACTAAAGAGATTGACCAGAAAAAAACAGAGGAGCCTAGCAACGGTAATGGTATATTTAGTGAAGCCAAGTTAAAAATATTACGTTTTTAGTTTTTTTTTTTTTAATAAATAATTACTAAATGACTAAGTTTAACCATGTAATATATAAATTATTTTCCAAAGAGTTTACAGTATTATTTTTTAGGTCAAATTATATAGCAAAATTGTAAAGAATGTGTAAAGTAGTATTATATTTTATTATATATTTCTACTTTAAAGGTAATTTATTTTTAATTAATACGGTTTGAAACTTTTATTCGTGTATGTTATCTTTATTAATATTTTAATTAATGCAATTTTTGTAATTGATATGATTTCTTATTTTTTTTATATAGAAAACTTTCTTTAGCATATGTATAATATTAAACATAAATTATAACTTCATATGCATTGTATAATGAATATTAAAACTAATTTAATTTTTTCTATCTATCAATCAAATACAATTTTATGAAAATATTATTATATAGAATTATTTATTTACAATATAGAATTAAATTATACTTATTTTAGAATATTCAATAAGTCAATTATTGATTAGTTTTATTTTGAATAATTCATTAATTTGAAAACATGAATAGGATTTATTTAATTAATGTTTATAATTATTGAAAATCCAGAATTTTTTGTTTTCTTAAATTCCATATAGAAATTAATAATATACTTAATTACTGCCAAAAACAAAGTTATTATTTCCATTTGTTACAGTTCAAACGAATTCATATTATTTAACACTTAATATTCTGTATTCACTAGGAAAACATTAGAAATTAAAATATTAATCTCGTTTTGTTTACGTATTTATATTCAATTATTTAAATAATAAAGTCATATATTTAATAAGCGTTTTATGATATTACTATTTACGTCATCGTATTTCATCATGAAATTTATACAGAGTATGAAGAGATAATTTTAAAAAAATTTATTTTATACGTTAAAATTTTAAGAAAATATTGTTGAAAAACTTACAATTTAATCAAATAGAATAATAAATACAATATTTATCAATCTTTATCTGAATAATTGAGATTACAATTTATTTCATTAGAAGTAGTGTTAGATAGTGAAAAATAATTTGTTTTAAAAATTGCAAGTGTTACCAGTAGTTAAGTATAGTAACGATTGAGTCTACAATCATTAATTATATTGATCAAACTAAAATATTATTTTAATTATAAGAAATTTGATCAAATGTAGTTATTGATATTTCTACAGTGGATATACCGAGTGAGCTAAATGACGATACTCAGCCAACGATTGGTGGGAAAAAAGATACAGAAACTGAAAAAGGCAATTTAAATCTTGGCAATACTGCTTTCGTGAGCGAAGATACGCGAAATCACGATGATCTTAGTTTACCTGAACTGCCGACCTCGGAATGCACACCAATTTCTACGACCCTTAACACTCCAAATCATTCGGACAATGAGGAATCATCGGAGCGCGTGCATGCTCTGAGTATATCCAATAACTCTATAGAAATAATGCCAAGCAGTCCCATAATTAGCTTTGCCCATTCGCCTATTAAATTTCGTAAAACCTCCACAAGCGATGAACTGCAATTCGATTTTCAGAATTCAAATGAGGAATCCAGTAATTCTGTTTTAAAGAACAGTAGTGGTAGCCTCCAGAATATTACTAAAGATATGACTGATAAAGGTATGTATATTTATTTAGCAAATAAAACTAGAAAGATTTTTAATTATAAATTGAAACTTAATCAACTTACAGACGTAGAAACATCGAAATTAAACATTTATTAGGCATATTTATCAAAATAATTATAATGATAAAGATAAAGATAAAGATTTTTAATATTAGTTTTATAAGAACAAATTAATCTTATTAAAAAATATATTAAAATAAAATTTTTAATAAATTTATATATTCCTTAACGTTAATAATAAAAATAAATAGATCTACATATAATAGAGTTAATATATATTAAATAATATCATGAAGATAAGAAAAAATTGTAAGCCTTTGTATAATTTTTGTTTTATATATTGTATAGATGAAAGTGTCAATTCATCATTTAATAACTTTATTTTTTAAATAAATTACAATATTATATTTGCATAAATACGGTAAATTATTTTAATAAAAAGTATTTTAATTTAAGGCAAGTGCTGGCATATAATAATTGAATAGTTTTATATTTTACAAAGCAAGCATAATAACTTATCAGTTAATGAAAAGAATTAATAAATTTAAAGATAATGATATGGAATGCTTTAACAATATGTCAAATTGTACATAATTACTCTGTATATAATTAGTTTAGCTCTAATTTTCTTGTATAATTTCTATTTAAAAACTATAATAAAAATATTTATATTGACGTTTATAAATATATTTATTTGTAAACATTACATTTATAAATCTTTGTATATTTCTAAAAGTAAACTAAAATACATGCTTCATTACATATTAATTAATGCAATACATACATAATATAAAAAATATTATGTAACCTTTTATCTGTTACAAAAATATAATATATAATACAAATATCTGATATTTATAAATTACCATAAACTTAAATCTGGTTTTTCACGTATTTACAAACTTTTATAATAACATATTTTCATATACATCTCTACTCCGAAACAAATAGATGGTTGACTAAAAAAATACAGAGATCATGAGTAATTAAATATATGTTTAATTAATTGAGAAAATATTTAGTAATTGGAATATTTATTTCACTGATTTTCAATTATGAGCTTATTTCTAAGTAATAAAAATGTATATTTTTAATATCAATTATAGAAATAAGAAACTTTTATTTTATACCAATGAATAATTTTAAATTTTACACTTTCAAATTTTCATGATAAATTAAATATATTTTTGTTTATCCTCAAAGCATATAAATTATTTTAATATATTCTTTTAATAAAACAACTTATTAACACGATTTTATTTTTTTAAATTGCTTTTATAATTAAAACAATTATAAGGGAAGCATTTTACTAGTAATGTTTTATAAAAGAAAATGAATTTATTACTCATATAGTATTTTTTCCTTATACATTAAGCAATAATGTTATATTGTTATGATATAAGTAATAGATTCTATATTATTATGTTTTTATAAAAGTTTGATAATAATATTAATGTTTTTATTATTGCTTTAAAATTAATTCTCTTTTATAAATTGTTATATTTAAAAAAAAAAGTTTCATTAATGGGTCATAAGAATATTCTGGGTTAACTTAAATAAATTGAATATCATAAGAAAATAAGTGATGTATGAACTTTAAAAGAAAACCAAACATTATAATTATAGCTTATAGTTTACATAAGCACTATTTTAAATTATATGGAATTATTATTTTATTACAATAATATAGTATAATTGAACAAATATACATTCAAATATATATTCTACATTTATTTCAATTTAGATATCCAAGATGAGAAATCCAAAATGCAGATGGATAAAAATATAATTAAATCTTTAACAAATGACAATAAATCTCAAGATCAGCTATGTAGCTCGGCAGTGGGCTCAACCGTTTTTGAATTTTCTGAATTTTCAAATTCGTCAACATTACCAATTGGCGAAGAGCCAAAAATACCAATACCGCCTATGGAAGGCAATTACTTAACAAATATTATTAAAGATACCCCTCCGATAACGAATTTACGAGTTTTGGATTCAGACGATGATCTCGTCGATAAAGTTAATGACATTTGGATGGACATAAATCTAGATAGGAGTCTCAGTGGTAATAGTATCAATAGTGGAGTTGGAAAACTTATCATTAGTGAAGAAAAGCAGTTGCAAAATGAGAAGATTGGAAAAGTACAAAAAATGAGTTTAAGACATTTTCGTAAAAACAAAAATGGTATTCATGTTAATACAGAGAAGCCTTTAATGATACAAAAACAAATTGAGACAATAATTGCTACGGAAATAGTAAATAAAAAAAATAATGACAAGACTAATATTGGTCTAAAGTCATTATATAAAGAAAAGGAAAGTCGTAAATCTCTAGATATAATCTCAAAAAAAGTTAGTTCTAATAAACCTAAAATAAGAGCAAAATCGGTCGAATTGGATAAAAATACCGATCATGACCAGAATGAGCTATTAAAAGAATTTAAAAATTTAAAAAGAAAACGAAGCATTGGTCATATACAAGATGAAATTGAAATGCTGAAATCAAGCATTGATGAACTTAGAAACTTAAAAAATAACAACAATGTTAACAGTAATATTTATAAAAATGATACCAACAATAACAATAACGATAATAATAATAACAATAACAACAACAGTGATGATGATGATAACGAGAATATTACTGATTCCATTCCAAATACACATCTATGTAAAAATGCTTCGTTACCGATGCTACCTGACACCAAAAAATCCTCAAGCTTAAGACGTAATTTTACTTCGGTTATTGCTAATTCTACAGAGCAGAGTTTTAAAAAAATTGCAGACGAAATAAACTCGAAGCAATGTGTTGATTCAGATATTAAGATTCAATTACCTAATATGAATTTACAAATAAAGGATAAAAAAGAGATGATTAACAGTAATTTATGCACTGCTACTGGTTCAAAAGAAGCTATAAAAATTGAAATAAATGTTTCTAGAATAGAAAGTCAATATTCTTATGATAATGAAGTTATCAATAAATCTAATCAGCACTTAAATATTTCACTACCATCACCTAGCCAATTAAATTATAAAGTGGACTGTAAATCCACGAAATCAACATTAATGGAGAAAACTGAAACCGAAAGGGAAGTAATTGAAGAAAAAATATTAATAAATGAAAAAAGTAAAGAAATAAAAATGATTGAAGAGTTAAAAGAAAATACAAATACTTTTACATTCACGAAGAAAAGTATAGATGTAAAAGATAGTCAGTATTTTCTTGAAGTAAGTAACATAACTGACAATAGTGAGAAAAAAGAAACTGAAAATGATAATGAATTGTTAAGAAAATTTGAGAAGAAGGAATCTGATATCGAAAATGCACTTAAGAAGCTTGAAGAGTGTCGTCGTGATAGTTTTATGTTAAAAGACGAATGTTTCAAAAATAAATGTTTCTCGGAGATGCCAATACCAGGCTGCTCCAAAGACCTTGATTTTGACAATTTTGATGTCGAACCTTTCGATGATAAGTCTGATGATTACTTTAAAGATTTACTTATCTCTACCGACAGCAAAAATCATTATCATAATCATAATAGTATCACTGGAAAAACCGTAGGATATTTTAATCCCCTTTTTCATCTTGATGAACTTGAGAATTTGAATACTGTCCCTGTATACACAACGAAAGATGGGAAAATAACCTATAGTCCAAACCCAAATTATACATACAGATCACTAATAATAGAGGCAAGACAACGAGAAGGTCATCTTTTATTTAGAAATTTCTATGATAACAAAGTTGGTCTTGATAAAAAGAGTAAACATTTTAATTCAGCAAAGTTACAGGATGAAGTATCGAAGTTTGATTATAATAAAAAATATGGAAAGCCTTCTTATCATAAGTATAAATCTGATAGTAAGAAAGAGCGATATAGTGATGAATGTTGTTTATTGAGTTTTGAAAATTGTGCAGTAAATGACAATCTTATAGTTTCTGACAAGGAAATAGTTGATGAAATCGAAGAATTAAAAATTAATACAGAACGGAAAGGTAGTGAAAAAAAAAAAGAAGAAAAAGTTGATAATATTTGTATGAGCAAAAATATAGAAAATCATACTCAATTGATTATTACAGAATTATGTAACAACAATAATAACAACAATAATACTAATAATCATAATAACAATAACAATATCAATAACGAAGATTTCGTTAATTTAAAAGAAAAAGGATTTTCACTTATTCCATTAAAATATTCATCTACATTATTAGTAAATGAATGTGCATATAAAAGTTACCCTATATTAGATGAAAAACGAGAGAATATAAGAAAGTGCTTAACACCAGAAAGAGAAACAGATAATTTTAAAAACGTACAAAGGTGCATTGTTGATTTACAAAATTTAAAAGATGATATACTAAAAAAATTAAATGATCAAGTATCGCATTGCAAATCACGAATAAATGAATTCGAATCTCACACAAACAAACGTATGTTATCAGAAATTAAGGATAATGTGGAAGAAAATACAAAACAAAATGAATTTTTTAACAAAAAACATGAAGATATTAATGACAATATTTCAGAAATGGTTCATGAATCGAAAGGGTTGAATATGTTAAAATTAAATCCAAGTAATTCACCGAAAAATTTATCAAAAATAGATAATAACTCTATAGAAAATTCGCCAATAGTTACTAATATAAAAATAGAACAAGCTGTGATATCAGAAGCTATTGAATCAATAAATACAAAAATTCAAACGGATAAATCTAGAATAAAAGAAGCTTCCAAGCCTAATGATTTGAAGATAACAACAAATAATACAGAAATATCAGAAGCTATTGAATCTATTAAAACAAACATATTAAAAAAATCTGAAAAAATAGATGATAATACCTTTTGTGACATTAAAACAATGGAAGTACAGCCTCTCGATTCAAGTAAAATAGAAATACAAACAGTAGAATCAACAGAATTAATAAAAACAGAAATTCAATTTTTAGAGCCTATGAAACCAAATAATATTGAAGCAAGGCTGTATAACAGTATTGAATCATGTGTAAATGACAAAAATTTATTAGATACTACAAAATCAAAAAATATTAAAGTTTCATTTAATTCAAATAAGAAAGTGGATGAAACTAATATGAATGCCAAAATTTCTTTTGATTTGAATGAAAAGAAAGACAAAATTACTGATAAAGAAGTTAGGATTTTAAATAAGGAAACAAATAATAAAACTTTTGGCGTAGAAACTCTACTTAGCCTTCCTTGTTCAATCAATAAAAACAGTTTTTCATTTGAATTATGTGATCGTTTTATTAAACAAGAGAAGTTGTATGCTTCTCGTGCCGATGCTATTGCAAAGACTATTCCAAAACTCGTAATTCGCAAAAGTGATACAAATCCCAAAATTTTTTCGAAAGCAAAATCTATGGATTGTAGCCAAATTGACTCGAAAAAAGATATACAGGAGGCTATAAAAAATCCCGTGCATCCAAAAATACCGAAGATGATTATTAGAAATGCAAGATCTCGACCTACTACTCCAAGCATTGAAGAAATTTCGGAAATTTCGTGTTTATCATTCACCGAAAGTGAGCCAAAGACGCTAAAGGTAAAAATTAAACTTGATGATAAAAATGATCATGTAGGATACAGGTCACACAATTCATGTGATTCTATAGAAGCGAAGATACCGAAGATGAAAATAAAACTTGAAGAGAAATTGCCCCGGGTCGTGATAGAAAATATTGATTTGAATAGCATTGATCAACAAAAGACTATACCAAAGATGAAAATAACCAATGTTAAAGGTTCTTTACCAAAGATAATGGAAAAACAATGTATGATAGAAGATGATAGGCTAGATTCAAATTTATCTGTTCTGGATAATGATGGTATTAAAATTAGGGAGAAAAATAGTACTAAAATAAAAATAAAAAGAAGTTCACCATTATACTTATCAACTTCAGAATTATCTCAAAAAAAAAGCAGTTCAAATATTTCATCGCAGTCCAAAAAAATCAAACGTTCACCAAAAGAAGAAGTATACCTAGATCCTAATTTAGAAGATACACAATTTTTGTTAGAGAATGAATACAAACAAAAAAATAATACTAATACCTGTTGTAATAACATATCAACAAAAATACCGAAAGTAATAATAAAAAGAACATCACCTAGTGCCGAATTTAAGTGTGAATTGAGCAAAGAAGCCATCGTTAATGCACAGCCTCAGGTTGTGTTGAGAAGGTCATGGGTGCTAGATTGTATGGCCAAAGATTTAAGACATATGAAGCTTGTTGTGAAAGTTGCATCATCCAAAGAAGAAAATAAACACGACAACAAATTAGAATCCAATGAATTGCAATGGGAAAGGTATGTAAATATTGCATCTTGAAGAGTATTTGGGTAGCAACAAGGATTTTACTTCATTTCTAGCGAAATAAAAAGTAATATTATAATTATGTTTTTGCCTTTGATGACATTAAATAATTAAATATTTTACTATTATTCTGAATAATTTTATTTTAAAAATAAATATATGGGTAAATCAGTGTGATAAGTTTGGATAAATTTCAGAATATGAATACAAATACTAATAAAACAATCTTTACTGTTTTATAAGCTATATCATATTATATGTTCAGTTACAAGAAAGGATTTTTTAATTTTACCAATTCCATTTATTAAATCTTTTTAGTAATGATAAACTCATTCTCACTCAATGATAAAACTACTAATGGTTTGTCAATATTTCAAATTCTGTTCAAAATTTAATTAATATCATAATATAATTTAAAATTAACATTTTTGCAATATAATATTGAGACACACGCTTTTTACTGAAACAATATTTTGATAAGTACATAAAAGTATTAAATTTAATTTTTTTTATTGAATATACAAATTAAAAACATTAAATTTATAATGTTAGAATTCATTTTAAAAATAGAACATTTTAAAACTCGAATATTAAAACCATGTACATTATAATTGATATAGTATTATTTATATATTGGACAATATCTTACTGCTTCAACATATATGAAAATAATAATAGTGCATAAATAATAAAGAAATAACTTGTATCAATGTTTTCATATTTATAAATTATCTATAATTTAAGTATTTAACTATATACTCAGTATTTAAATTTTCAATTAAAAATGAGAAATTTATTGCTATAAGATTTATAATAATACCAATTTGTCAAAATAAATAATATCAATGTAACGTATATTGTATGTTTTTTGTGCAGATTTATTTCTGGTTTGAAAAAGCGTCGTGAACTATCTCGATCTAATTCTACATCTGATTTGAATCGCTTATCTCCACTGAAGATAAAACGTCGTAGAACATCAGACTATACAATTAGTACTTTTGATCACTCAAATTCAGATTCTAGCACCACATTTGATTTTACGAAAAAGTTAGATGAAGAAACAAAAATGATAAATATAATGCGTAGAGCTTCTTTAAATTTAGCATCCGACATTCATTCTTTTGGCAATGTTAAAACATATTGGAAATCATTGGATGAAAATATGAACAGTAAGACTAGAATGGATTTTGAAAATGGAAACAGATTGTACATTGATGATAGACCGAAACTTCTCATGAATAACAAGAAACTGGAGACTATTACAGAAACGAGTGACTCATATAGTTCTGAATTTCTTGACTTAAAAGATAAATCACTCAATGAACTAAGTCTGAGTAATTTAGATGATATACAAATGTCGGAAGAAAATAATGAGCTTCTAGATAAAGATGTAGATGTACGTGAGGAAGAAATTGATGGTACATTAGATGATTTTGAGACTAATGAAAGTTCAATTATTAAAGTTGAATCTTCAGATGAAAGTCAAACAACAATTGAAATACTACCAGTTTCACCAGATCTGAGTCAAGAGATAGACAATCACCAACAAAAACATATAATTGAAGAGGAGCGAATTTATGAGGACGGTATGCCAGTGCACTTTGATTATGAGTTGGAGGTAGGCGATGGAGCAATCGATCCGTTAGAGGTTCCTATGCCTTCAGAGATTGAAATTAATAAAAAAGTAAATTCGATCGAAAATAAGCAGATATCCAGTACATTAATACAAGAGCAATTAGGTATGATTTATTAATAAATTTATACAACTGTATTCATTTAATTGATTTTTAGTTGATTTTTAGTTATTTAAATATATAAAATTATACTCGAAAATTAAATACTATAAAATTAAATAATTAAAAGAAATTGATAAAACTCATTTTAATTTTTAATTTATTGCTTGATCATTTATTTTTATGAATGAAGTATTTATGAAAGCATTGTATTTGAAATGAATACTTAATATTTCATAAGTAAAATAATTTTCTGTTTACAATTATTTAGAATATTTATATCTACTATCAAATAATACTTTTGTTACTTTTAAACAGTAGTAGAAGATACATCAGGTACACCGTTTAATGAAGAAATCCACCTCATTAACACTGATTCAGATATTGTCAACAATCCTTTTTCTAAATCTGAAACGTCAGATTCTTGTAGAGACAATGGTTTACCAGTCTTAGGATTGGTTAATGAAGTATCCTCAATGAGCACAAACCTAAATAATGAGCTATACCCAAAGAATGGCGATATTACCAATAATACAAATTTATTGTGTAATTCCTGTGAAATGATACCCCAAGAAGAAGACGAAGAAAATTCAAAATTTATTAATGGTAGTGCACCTTGTTCCTATTCCGATTTACTAGTCAGAAAGGTACTTGCCGCTAAAGAAACACTTAAAAAATACCTTGGTAATTTGTCAAGCGGAAGTAGAGAAACGTGCAACAGTGCAGCCTTGAAATTAAAGTCTACGAATTTTGAAATGATTAACCTGGACAAATATGCTAGAAATTTTTGTAAAACGGCCAATTTAAAATATAGGTATGAAAATTAATTCTTTTATATAATGCTCAGAGGATACAAGAATTTTTAAATATTTAATATTAATCTATTATTATTGAAAACTTAATGTTGTTTTTACGTTTACAAATTTTGAACAAACAATAACTGATAGTTTGATATTTTTATAGTATAAAACCATTAAAATGACAATTGTCATAGATTAATTAATATTTAATTTCATATATTTATTGAAATAAAAATTTTAATATTAATTAAAATACATACAAATTTTATACGTATGTCTTTTAGCGCTTTTAAAATTGATAATTATACAAGTAGAATACGATCTGTATAAATATTTCAATTCAACCTTTCAATTTTAATTTAATTAAAATTTTTAATGTTTAATTATATTTTCCGTTTATGACAAAGGTTACTTAAAATATTTTTATATCTAAAAAATTAACATGAACAAAATAGTACATCTTATAAGTTTAATTCAAATTTGCTAATAGTTAATTATTAAATTTACAGCTATAAATTCAATTATAAAAATCAGTATAAAAAGTTATATTGCAAATTTTCAAATTTAAACATATTTAAATAAATATAATGAATATATATTACTTTGAAATGACTGAAAAAATTAATCAATTATTTAAGTAATGTAACAAAATGATAAAAATTAAAATTGTTGACAAATTTAATTTTTCAATAATATCTATTCAAACCAATATATTTCGAAATAAGAAAATATATATTATATAGATATATATATCTTGTGTATATCTACATATATACATATCTTTATTTAGGGGAAAAAAGAGAAAAATGAATCGAGGTAAATCAAGAAGCAGTGAAACTCATATTTCATGTAACTCTTCATCTTCTGTTGAAAATAATGATAATTCGTCTTCAAATTGTCTTGAAAATAGAGAATTCCAGGACAATTCTTCTGATCCTCATAAAGTTAATCACTATCCAAGTTGTAAATCTTCTCTAATAAAATCTTACAAAATTCCTAGAATCTCGAAATCACAAATAGATCCGTTGATGCATGCAGTTGAGGAGAATTTGCGTCAATCTAAACAAAGGGAAAAAGAAGACAAGACCGAACTGATCTCAAGTGAAACCACGCTCACTCCGCCACTAATAACGAATATGACAAGCAACGAAGAGACTTTAAATAATAACCTGGTCGACGAAGTACCTAAAAGAGTGGAAAATATGATATCGAGATTAGACCAAATTAATCTAATTACGAAGGTTAAGGCTGTGCAATTTAATCCTGAAATGACCATATCAAATATTGTTCGAGAATTGGTCTTTCATGATAAGGTAATGATGAAATAGTTTTTTGTTATTTTAATACTTTGATAATCATTATACATATAAGTATTTGAAAAATACAAATCTTTACTTACAATATAAATAAACAGGATAACATTTTAATCTGTTAAGACGTCTATCAAATTGTATTAAATAATTAAATTTTTTATAATTTAAAAGTTGAATAAGAATTAATTGGATGAAGATACGAGTTGTACAATGATTTTATAATTTTTATACAATAAAATGTAGACTAACTTGCACTATAATATGTAATTATAATTAAGAACAAATTTGTTTGTGTATAATTGCATAAATTTAATAAATAAAATACGTTTAATATTTTCCAATTAATAAATAATAAAATAATAATTCATCTAAATTAATTGAAAAAAATATAATAGTTATATAATTTGAAAATTACCGCTATAGTGATAATTAATATTTAATACGATTTTTTTATTGGGTAATATGTATCTATAATTAGAAGTATATCATATTTATTTTAATAGAATATTTGTTATATTAGTAAATATTTTTTATTTACATATTTTAAACATATTTAATTTTATTTATTATTATTTTGATTATTTATTAATTATTCTATTAATAAAATCTAATTTAATATTTAAATATCAAATTACATTATTTGTTAATATATCGTTTATCTCTTTTATCAAGTTGCATTCATTATAGACATGATAACATCATCTATATCACGAATTTTGTGGAATATAAGCGACAAAATTATATTATATACTCAATTAGTATTCAGATTTAAATAAAAATTTACTCAATGAGGTCTACAAAGATTTTAAATAATTTCAACGAGTTATGGTTACATCATAAAATTTTATTATTGTTTTGTTTCTTTTTAAAAGATCATTTTTTATTTTTTGTATAAATACAAGATTAATTCAATTGGCTTTATATATATTTAAATTATTTAAAAAATTGTCAGTTATATTACTCATAAGATAGTATTTACTATATATTACAACTGTTTCTCTTTAAAGCAGTATATTTTCTCTAATATAAGGTTTGAATCAATTAAATTGTAAATGACCGTATTGATGAACACGTGTTTAACATGTAAGTTCACCTTTTAGGCTACAATAAGGCACCGAAGGTACTGCATACTGTGTGAACGCTGGTTCCCTTCAACACTTCGGCATCGACGTCATTTAGCGGGATATCAACATCGGCATACGGAATTGACACAACGTCGAGCAATACACATACTGTTCCTTATATTTACTGGGAAACTCTGTCCCAAGCTTCTACCTCCAAATGTAGTGAGAACCGATTGCGTCCCAGGAGAACTTACACCACTACAAATAGCAGTACAGGTAAGTAATTGCGGGTATTAACAAATAATTACTTTTGATTTTGACATGTTTTGACATAAGAATTTGATGTAATTCTCATTAAAAATGATTATATATTCCGTTCTGATTTTGTGGTAAACTAATCTATATTGCTTCACTTTTAGTTTTTCAAAACTTTATATTTATTTTAGTCCTTTGGATTATACAGAAAACATTAAATTACAAAATATGTTTATTTAAATTAATACTGATAAAAATTTTTAAATACTACATTGTATTTTATAATCTTTTATGTAATATACAATACATGCATGCAATAATTTAAGTCATCACTTATTTTTTTTATTTCCAGGATTTTGCTACAGTTTTTGATGGGATGCAACAAATCTCTGATAAACAGGGAAATGAGAATAAAAAATAAAAAAAATTGAAAAAATCAAGTAATTACACTCTAGTTTTTTGAAAGTATTTGCAGTGGATTTTTGCACGATCTAAGAATATAAAAAAAAAGTTAAAACTGGCTCTAGGTGCAACTCTAGACAGGGTTTAACAACGTGTACCCATAGTCGTGCATCTTAGTTCTTTTTAACCAAAGACATTTTAGAATCAGAAGGGGGTATACTATATACATACATACATACACACACACACACACACACACACACACATATATATATATATACACTTTAGATTTATTTTACGTTTCGTGCGCTTATAAAAACTAAATAGAGCGCCTTTGACTTGTACAAAAATGTCGTTGTATTTCGAATGAACGATTTGTAAATTAGAATGAATGGATCGCTCATTATAAAGACGGAACGATGTAAAAGGGTGAAAATAAATTTTTATTTATATCTTGAAAGAGACTTATACATATTATACATAAAACGAAAAAGCCGTAACATATATGTTTATTATATTCAACTGTCACATATTATCGCAATATGTAAATACAAATACATAAACCGTACGTTGTGAACATATAGATGTATTTGTAATAAATAACAAAAGTAAGAGACATATCTCTTTCGTAAATAAGAAAGTATAAAACCAATATCAAATTTAAAACCATAAAGAGCAGCAAAAATGAAGAAGCCTGCAACGATCAAAGCATTTTTTCGAACAATATATAAGTCTCAAGTTTCAGAATTTTATGGATGTTATTAAAAAGAGATATGGAAATTGAAAAAGGCAGTGCCTTGTCGTGCTTTAGTCAAAATGTTCAAACAGAAAGCAAAAATTCATCTTTGACATTTATTTCGTAATTTGTTGAATATATTTATCATAAAAAAAGTATAATGTGCATTTTAATAGAAAATTTCGTTACTTACGACAAAGTATTTTGCGATAAATATACATTAAAAATACTTCTTTCATCATTTGCATTGAAAAATCTAAATTTGACGTCATCATTTTTATGTATTTTTTATTGAAATTTTGACGAGAAAAAGAGAAAATAAGGAAAAGTTTGATAAATATAAACACCGATACATGTATTTACCGCACGAGTGCCTTAAAGTACATCTAACAGTATTCAGTTGACCGAGTTATGCATCTATAAATAAATATAAATATAAAGTAAAAATATATAAAATATGATCAGTTGAGCGTACCGTGTTTATATATATATTGGGTGATAAAAAATAAAAAATATGCACATAAATTTTGTTAGTCTGCCGTTGAAATTCTTTACATACCGCTGTGCATAATAAAAATATTAAAAAATATAAATAACAAAATGGTACATTATGATTGGAAGAGAGAAGTTATGTATAGTATATATAAAATGCACATATTTGCAATGCAAATTTTTTTGTCATACAAAAACTCATATTCTCTAAGTCCTTAAGACAGAGAACATACTATACGAAATTGATGAACATCGATATGTGTTTTATGTGCCTAATCTTGGAAAAGTTTTAATGTATAAACAAATATATATATATTTTTTTTTTAACATATTCTTATAAATAATGTAAATCAAGTGTAAAAGCAGCAGTGCATGAAAACGATAAAGTGAAAACTGAAAAATATTAAAGAAAAATGTTAAAGTGTTTTTATGTACATTCGTTTAATTATTCATGTAGACAATCACATGAGTGATATTAATTATGCTTAATATTTGTGCGATTATGTAATTCAGAATCGCATTAAACGAAAAAAATTTTTTTAATGATGAGTTAAAATATACAAAAACAAAAGGACTTCTACACAAAGAAGTTATATCATTAATTTAAGAGCAAAAACCACCTTGACTTCCAATATCATAAGATATCATTATTTAAAATATATGTCGTATTTGTTCTCTTTTGCTTTCTCTTTTTCTTCTAATTATTTAAAAATTAAAGAATTTGTACGAATGTGTACATCATATATGACAAAAAATATTAAAATTATCAATTTTGCGATTGAAGAGTACATGATTATTTTATGTGATAACATGAAACGAATGAATAGTGTCAATGAATAGTAACACAAATTAACGATTTTAACTGGTACAGCGAACATATAATTTATAGTGTTGATTAAACTGTTTTAGATATTTATTGTTAACTTTAAAGTCTTATATTAATAACCTTAATATGTTTAGTTTTACGTTAATGAATAATTTCAATTTTTTATTTAACACAGTTTGTTACAACAATACAGTAATGAGTTATAACCCATAATAAATGTTCCTGTTTTGTTGTCTCAGAATAATTTTTATTTATTATGAATAATCATTATTTCATTAAATAAATACAGTATGAAATATTAATTAAAAGTTTATATGCTTTTCATATAAAGGTTTATCCAAAGTATTAAAAAAAAATATTTTTAGTAACAAATACTTATTTTGACAATTATAGTTAAATTTATTATGCCTTTAATGACAAAATATTTGCTACTTAAATAAAATAAATAATATAATACATGAAGAACTTTGAAATTAAATGGTTTAATATGAATTCCATAGAAGAATTCATTTTATATTGATATCAGTTTTAAAAATAATTATTAAACCATATTGGTAATATAACGTAAATTTTTTAATATTTAATAACGGAATCATAATTTAAATGTTTTTATTATTTAAATTTCTTAAATAGGAAGATTTGTTACTGATCCAAAGTAATAAAAGTATAACCTTTCTCATTTTCGTATCTTTTATTAATTATTTTTTAAGCTATAAAATTTATAATAATGCACTATTATTTTTCATTATGATCTTTGGTTTATTGCATTATTATTTGATCTATTATAATTAAATATTAGATTTACATAAATAATTGTATTTTATTATATAAAACTACTTGTACAAAATGTTATTCATATTCATAATGGATAATTATTAATATTCATATATAGATTAAATTTTCTATTAACTAAAAATATAGTTGATAGAATTAGTCATTTTAACGAAGTTTTATACAAGATAATATTATTGATAAATTGAAAATTTAACTTTAATTGACAATTTTTCCGTAATTTCATATTTTCAAACAAATTAGAAATTAAGTACCATTTAATCAACTACTGCATTTAAAATATTTTTATGAAAATTATTTATTTGTATCTTAATATTAATAACAATCTTAAACCAGTATTTGAATATTTTCATAACTGCATGATAAAAAATATGGGACCATAAATTATACTATTCATTGACATTGATTCAATCGCACTATACAAAATCAGAGCTGTGAATTCCGACTACATATAAAATGCTATTTCAAAAAAGTAAATGTAAAATAAAACCTGTTAGAAAAGGTGGGAACAATGGTATATAATATATCTTCATTTTTAGTTAAAACAAATTAAATCTACGTGTTACCTACACTTTGTTAAGTTTTTTTGTTATTAAATATTTCATTAGTTTATAATTTAGATTAAATATAAAATATGCCAAATCATTATATTTATATTAAAATTATTTTTATCAAATTTGGAAGACTTTGAGTTAAAATATTTTGTATTATTATAGCAGTGTTCAATAATTTTATTGGTGGTGAATGTATATAAACCAGACTATAAAACTTTCAATAAGTGCAATACAATTATACTGCTTATAAGAAATACAGTGATATTGAAAATGTATATATAAATTTTTGTTCAAACTAAGCTATTATTGGAAGTATCAATAGAAAGAAAGGATAAGAATAAGAGGAACAGTCAAGGATTTTTATAGGTACCAGAAAGAAGAAAAATTTCAGTTTTATTTTTAGATAAATAAAAATAAATATTTAATACATTTTAATTAATATTTGAGTTTTGTAAAATACATTCAAAATATATTTTAACTGTGAAAATGTTTTCGTACTGTATAAATCAATGATGCATTTTTAAAATAAAATTAATCAATTATAAATTTTTTTAAGAAATATTCTGATTTCAAACATTTATGAAGAAATTCGTAATAAGTTATTTTTATTATAATTTATAAATTTCAATTTTTTTAATAATTTCTTTCTGTTACATATATTTTGTCTTTATTATCTATATGAAATAAATAATATTGTAAATGCGAATTATATAAAATTTCCGCAAAATCTAATGTAATTCAACATATCGCTCATATATATACACGCCAACATACAGATAACACTTAACTCTAAGTGATATATAATTAAAGAATCGAATAATTGTTGATGCATATCGTTTTCTCTGATAGTACCCGAAAAGTTATTCATTAAACTGTGATTTGCTCTTTCCGTAATGCTGCGTGGAAACTAATCGAGCGATGTGTCGAAGCGTTTATATTATTTCAAACGAAATCTTGTTTTTGCTTATTTAAAAAGATAGAAATTTGAATCACATTTACATAAATTATAAACAATGTTTATCATATAACATAGATTATGGCTGAAATTGATAACGGGAAAAGTATATTTTTAAATACTTATTTGAGCCACATGAAGTTATAAAATTATTTTCTTAGTATCAAAATAAAAATATAGGGATTTTAAAATGTTTTACAGCCAACAATCCATTGTTATAAAATAAAATTAAGTATTTTAAAATTTTGAATTCGATTTTAATTAAAATATTTTATTTTATCTGGTGGAAATATAAAATATTTATTACAAAGTGTTTAATCAAACCTCGTATTAAAATATGATGTATTCACAAAACAAATATTATAAACCCAAGTATAAAAGAATCGCTATTGAAACAAATGACGATAAATACTACAGTTGTTAAATAACTTGATTTATATTAAATTCTCTAAGTATCGGTTTTATTTTCATTAATTTAATTGTATATACTGTGCACATATAAAATTTTCGGTTGTTGTATGAAAATATTTCCACTGATTTTAATTGCCTTACTTTTATGTTTTAAAACATCATTTTTACATTCCCATTTTACATCACTTTAGTTAATACACGTAATTAATTATATTTTATATTATATTTTTATGCGCTGACTTTTTTAAATTATAAGCATTGTTTTTTATAAACACAAATGTATTGCGCAAATGTCGTCGAAGAAATTTAGTACACTGTACATTTTGCGCCTCAATTTCGGGAGCCGATTTTAATTAGGAGAGCGTCTATTTAGATAATACACTACGTTTCTTTCATTTTTGGGCTATGTCATATTATGTCACTAGTTTTTAAAAGTAGTTCAGTTTTTTGTGCACAAGCGGGAAGATAAACGTATTTAAAATATTCTCGTTAATTCTACGTTTTTTTCTATACAGAACGTGTGATTATTTCCTTTATTTTATTTTTGTCCTACGATAATGTCCATTGAAAAATGCGTTTTGTGCGTGTGATGAAAAAGACTTGTATTTGTTAATGTCGACTTGTCGCACTATTAAACAAATTTAAAATAAAAATTTTGAAAAATATTTATTTTATTATATAATTATTTCTTATATAATATTTATTACTTTAAGTGTTAATTACATGAATAATTTTTTGCAATATTTTAACAATTTTTTTATTTTTCAAATATGTTAAAATTTGTAGGTATGTATTCAGAAATTTTCTGATTTTAAAATGAATAACAAGTATAATTTTTATCATTAGTTTTTAAAAATTAAGAATAAATATTTTATGAAAACATTTTAAAAAATCATTTTAAAGTTTATGAAGATTAACTACTTTTAATAGATATAATAAATATCATAAAGCAATATAAAGGATAAAGCAATAATATAGTACACATAAGAATGTGCTTAGAAAGTGCTACTCTACTAGGTTGTTAGAAGAGAGGAGCAGTTTACAATAAAAGAACAACTGAATCAAATACAGTAATACAGTTATTAAACAGAAATAAAATCAACAACTTAATGCACAAAGAAATGTAAAAATATTGTAGATTTATGTTATGCACTTAGGTCTTTTGAGATTTTTGCAGTATTATCGATCATCAAGAATTATAAATGAAAAGTGAAAAATTTAGAAATAACAAAGTTATAAAGAAACTATCAAGAATTTATCATTCCGAGAATCGAATTCATATATAGTAAATTAAGAATCGATCCAAGCGAGAATTGATAAACAAAAATTAGTAAATCAACTTATAAGAATAAGCATTCAAATCCATAATATATATATAAATAAAAAAAAATATTGATACAATCTTCTTTTTACATTAATTTTTGAAAGTATAAATTAAAATGCACATATTTCTTAAAATTATTGAAAAATTTTTTTATAAAGCTTTTGTAAAAGTGCATTAAAATAATAAAAAACATTTCTTATATATGCATCTAATAATATATATATATATATATATATATATATATATATATGCTATAGTAATATGCGAAATTAATTTTTATGCAAAATTAATAAAAAAAAAAATTGTAAATTGAATTATCTAATTTAAAAAGAAGATTTAGGTAATTAGTGATATTTTTCATTTTTCCTAATTATGTACATGATATGCTTATAAGCTCTTATATAATTTTTATTAAACCATTAAAAAATATATCCTTAAATATTATTTTCGGTATGTTCTTATTTTTTACTTTTCTTATGTATTTTTATAGACAATATTTATTAAAATTGTTCTAAATAATAATATTTAATTATTTGTTATTTGAATTAATGATGGTGTTTTAAACTTACGTAATTAAGCCATTGACTTGATGGAAGTTTTAAATTTAAGTAATTAAGCCAAATATGTTTTAACTACAACACCGTATATCGTTTAGAACTTCAAATATATTTTCAAATATAAAGCATAAACTTTAAGTTAATATTGTAAAAGGAATTTTATAGTTAATTTTAATTTGTACATTTTTTAGTTATATTTAAAATTATTCCTATTCGTGCATGTAAGTAAAATATAGTTACCTGTGTACAAAATAATTGTATTGATTTCTTTATATACGATAATATATTGATAGGTTTTTAGTTCTCTACAATTTCCAACGAATTTTAAATGTGTATTTCACAATTTGATTGAATTTAAAGTATAACTAAATATTGTTAGCGAACATGCCGTCTGTCTTTTGACCAATGCTTGCAAACGAATGAATTCACTACATGGCTACTTTTAAATGTGATTGATACCGTATTATAAGTGTTAAATACCGATTGATAAAGAATCCTAGTGTTACGATATTTTCGTTTATTTTTAGCATACAATTAAGTACTTTTAGTCGATATGTCTAATTTACAGTTTCTTTAAAGTTGAATTACACATAAGTTTTTAGAAATATTTTATCATTAGATCTCGATGGAAATGAAGTCGTTATTGAACGTATTATCAAAGAACAAAAATTTGATTATCTATATATTCTTAAGTAATAAGCAAATGTTTTAGCATAAAAACTTTAAGAATGGTACCGCCTCCAGTGGTTACGGGAATATCTCCAAAGGAGGGACCACCTGGTACTCGAATAACGATTCGTGGTGAATTTCTTGGCATCAAAGCTCAAGATCTTATAGGTTAGCGTTAACTGTTATTTTATTAATTAAAATATATATTTTTACTTTTATTAATAAACTTTCATTCAAAAATTTGAATTAGTTAATATATATTAATTATTATATATACATACAATAACTATATATATTTCTTTTATTTTTAATTTTTCCTTGAATAAAACTTTTTTAACTTGGATTATATTTAGTATTAAGGACTAATTTATCAATATACTTAAACTAGATACCTACTTTAATTGTTGTTATAATAATTATGAATATTTTTATATAATTAATTTGAAAAGAGTAATCAAATTTATTTATTAAAATAATATCAATAAAATTAAATAAAATGGAAATAAAATTTATATTTTAGGCCTGAAAATATGTGGATGTGATTGTACATTGTTAGCTGAGTGGAAATCACCTAACAAAGTAATTGCTAGATCTGGATCATGTAAAGGTAGAGGTGATATAATTGTGACAACCCTTAGTGGTGGTCAAGGTACTTCTACAGTTCAATTTAGAGGATATCATGAAACAATTGGTCCTATGAAAGAATCTGCTGTTTGGGTAGAAGAAGCACCAGTACAAAGTTTTGCTTGGGGTAGAAGAGCATTATCACCAACAAATTATCAACAAGAAGATCCTTTAGGCCTTAGTGTAGAAGGCAATGTGTAAGTTATGTATATATTTATTAAGAATTATATTTTTATTTGTTAATTATATAAAGTATTTAATTATCAACACCTAAATATAAAATTTAATTTAATCTCATTAAACTAATATTTTTATAACTTACAGTAAAAACTGTAAATCTTAAATAAGTATTAAATTGATATCTAAATATATGAATTTGTAAATATTAAATCCTGAGCCTTTTTACTCTTTCTATACAGTTGTAATTGAATCAATTTAACAGAACTTAATTTGGTAATATGTTTGAGAAATAATATCATATAATACTTTTATAAAAATTAAATTAGTACTTAAAATTGCCTGACTTATTTTATTATAACAATATAACTTTTCAAACTCTTGTATATATCATAATGTGGAAGTGTTTTATAAATCAATATATATATATAATCAAAATAAATACATTGCTTAGTTTTAATTGTATATTGATCATTTTTATAATTTTACTCTTTGATCATGAGTTATATATTTGAATTATGTATTATTTATTACATATAGTATGAAAATGAATTTGTTATATGTTATTTATAAAATACATGATTAACTATAACATATAAAGTAGAACTTTTTTATAATAGTTTTTAAGTTATATATTAGCTCATAAATTATCTTCAATTACTAGAAGACTGGATTTATTTATTCTAAAGTAGTTTATTGCTATATTCTTAATATTTGGATCTGCTTAATGTTAAAGTAATGATCTATCCATTGTTCTGTTAATAATTTGTGTATGAAAAAATGTGTTTTTTTATTTATTTTTAGTATTCAAATTAGTTTTAAACTCTCATGATATTTTACATTATCTAGTATATTGTAAGTATTGTAGAGCATTTAAATTCACTATTACGAAAAGTTTGATACTTCTACCAAAATCATATCCATTTTTTTCCTGTTATTTTTACTGCTATAATTCCAATAACTAAAGGAATTTTGTGAATTTAATTTATTAAAATATATGTAAATTTCAGATAAACAGTTGTGAGTATATTTAATTTTTTAATTATTTAACTATAATATCAACTGATAAAAGTATGGTTTTATTATATTAAAACTGAATAAAAATAATATATTTTAACTTGTTTTATAAGGAAAAAATTTCCAGAGGATGAACTATTTGAGCTTTATGGGGATGCTAGTGGTGAATTAACTAGTGAAAAATTTCATCCCGGTATGTTTCTATTACAACATCATCATGCTACTTCCTTAGATGATCTTAAGGCAGGCTTAGCATATTTGCGACGTAAAGTAAATTCTCAAAAAGAGGGTCAACTTTCATTTTTGAAGGTATTTTGTTTAGTTTTTCTTAAATTTAAGAAAATGGAAAATGATATATTTATGAATAAATATTTATGTATTTAAACTTATAAATTTTGATTCTTAACTTTTCTTTATATTTTAATATTTATTTTAATTATTATTTAAAGGCAAATGTTGGATCAGTAATGGAACAACTCGATACAATTATCCTTTTAAAAGATCAATTTGAAAATGATCTAAAAAATTATGGCACAAATCCTATGGAACAACTTGAAACTGCAATAAAAGAATCTATGATAGAAGCCAATAAATTATTTGACGATATTTTAGCTAGAAGGGATAGAGCAGATGCAACTCGTAATGCACTATCCGTGATGCACAGATACAAATTTTTATTTTGCATGCCTATTAATGTAGAGAGAAATATAAAGAATGGCAATTATGACCTTGTGATTAATGACTATGCCAGAGTAAAAAATTTATTCAAAAATACCGAAGTAGAAGTATTCAAAAAAGTTTTACGAGAAATTGAATATAGAATAGAAACTCTAAGGGAGGTTTTAAGAAAAAAATTAGAGGAAGTACCATTCTCTTTAGAAGATCAAAAAAAGATTATCAGAAATCTTATTAATCTTGAGGCTGAAGGAGATCCAGCATGGGATGGAATAGGTAAGTTATTTAAATAAATCTCTTGATTAATAATTTGTTTAAATTTACAATAATTAAGTTAAAATAATTTATTAAAATTTAAGGTACATAAATTGTAGATTAACTATATTGCTATGCTTATGTATTTTTAAAACTTCTAAAACATGCATAAAATTAAAAAAATTTCTTATATTTCTAAGTTAAATGATGACATGTATTTGGAAAAGTAAATAGTAAATTAGTTTTTAACATATAAAATTTTAATGGTTTATATTTAATTATAGTTTCCTATGCTAATCACTTAGAAAAAAGCATAAAAACTTGTACAACAGAGTATCTTGAATCCGAAAGTAGAGAGGATGATCTAAAAATAAGTTTAGCTATAAAATCAAATGTATCAACTCCAATGTCTATTAAACAGTTTAAATTAACAAAAAATGAAGAAAATAATACTCCAGTTAAAGTTCAGTGTATTGAAGCTCTATGTGACATTGTTATGGAACAATTGCCTGATCTTTGGAGATTAGGTCAAAGTTATTTTACAGGACAATTGCATGTTACTGTAGATGCAAAAAAACAAAGACCATTTAAAGTGAGTAAATATTCATATTAAAAGTAAATTCATATTATTATAAAATTAAAAGTAAACATAAAGACCTTTCTTATAATAAAGTACTTTTGAAAAATCTAAGCTTATTCTTTTAAATGATTTTCTAGAATTTAGTACTTTCAAGTATTCAAAATGCTGTAAATGCTATGAAAGCTTCTTGTGATTCTAGTTTGGAGGCTTCATGGTTTTTATACAGTCTTAAACGTATTAGACAGATATATGCTTCACTTATTCATTTAGACTTACCTAGCGATGCATTAGATATTTTTGGAAAATTTATTTTTGAATTAAGGTAATGCACCTAATTTGAATACTTCTATAAAAAGATATGATTATGTTTTTATCGTTTCATTTTTTTTAGATTACAATGTTTAGTAGGCCTTTTTAAACAAACTGTAGATAAAATATTATTATTAAAATGTAAAGAAACATGGGAAATTGAATATTTAGATGGAGATGGAGGAATTACTAAAATGGTATTAATAAAATTTTTCATATTTTTCATATTTATGTATTTTTAAATATTTTAAAATTATATTAATATTTGTTATGTTACAAGATTAAAAATTCTGAATTAATAATGTATTAAAATTTGAACATTTTATTATATATAATCTTACGTAGTAATGTTTTAAAATATTTTTAATTATTAAAATATCAAATTTGTAAAAATTGTATAACATATTGTTTAAGTATAAATTATTTTTTTTATTTTCTCTACATTACATATGACTAGTGTCTATATATGTATATTTATATCAATAAAGTATATTTTTACATTGACTAATAATATTACAGAATTAAATTAAAATAGTAATTTATAAAATGTTGTGAATTATTTTAAAACTTTTATAAATTATTTTGTTTTAATTATTCTTGTTTACTTGAATTTTAATGACATAATATTTTTTCAAATTTTTGAAAAAGGAATTTTTGGATTAGAAATTGATCACTGCAGAATCAGTGTTCATTAAGTCGTTAAATAGAAAGTTAATTTTAAAATTCAATACAATGTTTTTACTTTATTTACATATTTGCACATATATAGTCTTAAAAGATTTTTTAATTCTTAATTAAATCATTCGGATTGTTGTTTATTACAAAATTTAGCCATTATATTTTGAAGAAATGGTCATGGAAGTGTCCAAGCTGGCTCGTGAAACTGCAATTATTTGTGGACCAAGGGAAGCACCTCTATTAGAAAATCTAAATCATCAAACACTTTATTACAATGAAATTAAAGCAACTTTTGCCGCATTCGCTCGCTGCTTACAGCAGTTAGCTTTTAACTGTAATGAAGATATAATTGATGACGAATTTACAATGGTTCCACAACTCACGAGTTCATCCACTGTTTATAAAAATAAAGATATCAAACCACATGGGCTGGCAAGTTAAAATTTTATAAAATTTCTTTATCTAAATATTTACGTATATATTTTATTCATTTCTAACTAAAATTGACCAATTCAATAATTTAACATTATTATATTAGTGAATTAAAAGTTATTTGATTAAATGATAATGAAAGTAACAGCAATAATCAAATTAACAGTGAAGATGATAATAATAAATAGTAAACATAGTTTTGAATTTTTTTTATAGACATGGGAACAACGCCTATTAATTTCATTAAGTAACATACGATATACTCTTAAAGTATTGTTGCCACGAATCGAAGAAAATCTTAAATTTCAAGGTTATCCAGATCTTTCAACCACTGTTGGTTATAATTCTGATTGGACACAATTGAAAACTTTAGATACTGCAGTATTGAATGCCTATTTAGAACGTCGTTGTGATCCTTTAGTTGGAATAATAGAACCGAATGTATATATCGGAAATTTAGATTGGAATTCGAATCTTCAAATTGTTCATGTTAAACCATATGTTCAAGAAATTTTAGCTAATATTATAGCTGTTCATGCTGAAGTAAGAATTGCAATGAAAATGGAAGCTTTTTAAAATAATCATGCCAAATATTTTCTACAAATTAAAAATCTAATTGGATAGTCTATTAACATTGAGTTTGTTAAATAAATTTCATAATAATCTTTTAATTTATATTCACATTTTTGCTTTATAATACTTTTTTTTTATCTTGTGGAAAGCTAAAATTAACCTCTAATACTTAATATATAATGAGAATAAAAATTCTATAAATAATTACACAATTTGTAGGTTCGTCATGTTTCTCCATGTTTACTTGAACGAGTACTTTCACACATAGTTGAAAGTGTTACTGAAGAATTAGCACGCTTAATATTATGTATTAGTTATCGATTTAGTTCATCTGGTATTATACAAGCTAGAACAGATATTTTACTAATGAAAAAAGCATTAGAAAATTATTGCTCACCACGAGCAGAGTAAGTAAATGTTAATTAAAAAACATATACATTATATATTATATCTACAATAAAATTATAGTTATTTGAAGTTACCATTTTTAAATAAAAATTTTTTTAATTTATTTGGTGTTGTTACATGTTAAGTATACTTAATTAAATTAATTATTGTAAAATATATTATTTAAAAACCTTTGATTATAAATATATTATAAAAGCAATCAAATTTATGTCAAATTTTTTAATTTTTTTAGAAATTTCCTGGATGAAGCTTTAAAAGCTATACCACAACCAGTTACTAAAGAAGATGCTCAAAAAATTGATATGATTTTAACTAAAGTTACAACATTGATGCAACTACAATTATCTTGTCTTATGAATAATATAGATAATGTTAATACAACATTAAAAAAAATAGGCTATAATCAATTAACAGCATTATAGTCTATAGAGCTTATTTAATTTTTTCTAATAATTTTTCTTTTGCTCGATTAATAAGAAATAACAATATATTCTAGTTGTTTAGAGTTTTTATATAGAATATAAGTTTATACTTGAATATTACTGATAAATTATTCGATAAATCTACAGTAAGCTTAATTAAGCTATTGATCTGTTGCTTTTCTAAAACAGTATATAAATATATCACATGCATGAAAATGTACTTTATATATTGATATGTTGTTTATGTTTTTGTACGCATATACAGATGTGTATATATATTTATATGTATATTCATTTTATTATAATAAACTCTTACTTTTTTATGTAATACATTAATAATATTTAAAAATATGATCAACAATGACCTTAAACTTATAAAATGTCTTTGATTTTTTTATGAATTTTTATAGTTCCTGTGTAGCCATTTAATGTAACAATTTCACCTATAATAAAAAAAAACAATATATTTATTAATATATATATATATAACTTTTATTTCTAAATATCCTTTATAAAATGTATTTTTAATAAAAGAAACAAGATTTATGATCTTTAATTATAAATAAACTAAAAAATTATTAACGCAGTTGGAATCATGTAAATTAATTTTTGATAATGGCTACTTACAATGGATTGCATTAAAATTTAATTATTAAATTATATTGACGACTAAAGTGTAAAATATCTTATTTATATTTACCTGTTTTAAATTTTCCAGTAGCATTTTCGACGCTAACAATGCAAGGAAGTCCATATTCCCTTGCAACGACAGCTCCATGACTAATCAGCCCACCGAGTTCAGTCACTACACCACCCAATAATGGGAAATATGGACTCCAGCCAATATCCGTTGCATTAGTTATCAAAATATCGCCCGGCTTAATTTCCCTGGCTTCCTCTAAAGTTAAGGCAATGCAGGCGCGTCCAGTAACCATGCCATTACAGACAGATGTACCTTGTATGCAAATACCATCTTCTATTGTAGATATTTTCATTTCCTAAAAAATCAGTGAATTTACTGTTAAAATCAAGATAATAACAATTACTATTAAAATAAATAACCATTTAAAATAAAATGATTAAATACAAAAATTAATTTACCTCCACAGGTTTCAGCATCCCATAATTAACTTCATTGTATTTATATTTTTGTAGTTGCAGCCGTAATTTTGCTCGGCGCGTAGCTTTACGCAGCAACCCTGGATTAGGTTTACTGACCAGCTCACCTAACTCCTTGTGTGTTAGAAAAAAAATAAGAGCTTGATCGGGAAGACGGCCTTCTTTCATCAGAAGAACTGCTAGTCTACGATATGCAAGTCGCAGATTATGAACCATCTCGATAATCAAAGCTTTGGTCTTTTCTCGCTGAGAGACCGCTTTTCTCATAGCTGGTAATAGTAGTCGCAGAATCCAACGTGTCAAAGATTTTTGAGGAGTCTTAAGGTATGCCACCGTTTCACGAGAACTCAAACTCTTATCAATATGATCCTCTTCCACTGAATCCATCATTAGCTGCTCTCAAGGCAAATATATGATGTTGATTTAGATATAACGTAGTTTATTTTTTAAAAAATCACGATAGATAGATACATACATACAATAATATAAGTTATTATAATAATTATTGAGAGTTACCATTATGAAAAATTTTTTACCTTGTCATTTTTTTATAATTATACACTCCCTAATAATTAACATGATTATTGTATTTTTTACTATTGTTTCAAATGAATTACCTAGTGTCCAATGAATTAATATCTTATTAAATGAAAATAAATGTGGTAAATATTTTTGTGTATTATTATTTTTTATTTTTTAAAAGTATTTTAAATTTCTTTCTTTTAAACCTTCATTAAATGTCACAATTTATATTAAATTTTATTCATAATTTAATTAAATGTTTTTATTATTAAAAAATACTATTATAATAATCTATTATATATATAATATTTATTAAAGTTCAAAGTATAACTGAAGTTTCAAAATAATTCATATATTATTTTCATTTATAATAAAAAATTAAAAAATGTATTTCAAATTGAAATCGAAATAAAATTTAAAATAATCTCATTTGTAATCTTACTTGAACAGGCTCTCTTCGTATCAAGATAAATAAAAATAAAATACTTGTTTTATACAAGCGAAAATATAATTTATATTTTATATTGAGTAATAAAATCAAGTCGATATCCAGTTACAAAACTACACACTTACTTGTATAGTGTAAAGGAATTTTTCCGGTTTCATACTCCATGTCTCTGTGATTAACTCAAATTCTTCAATACCTCGGTGACCATGAATATTTATGAACTGTTGTACTTGATCATACGCTGTTGGGCATTTCAATAATAGCCAATTCATCATCTCTGATATATCGACACTTTTAAATTCTTTAGACAATCCACTTTCTCTGACTGTACGTGTTATTTTCTTCAGCGCGATTGGCACTTGAGCACTAATTACATTTATTCGTAAAAACATTTTACTTATATACTTGAACCCTATTGTACTTACTATTATAATTAAACACATTAAATTATATTTTTGCTCAATAAAATGTAAAGCCGTATCATATTAATAAATTTATTAATATAAGCTTAATAATAGGACCCAACAATTAAATTTAAACCAACAAAAGTAATCAAAAGAAAAATTAAATCACTAGTTTAAAAAGCTTAATTTTATTCTAGATTGATTTCTAATAACGAATAATATATTTAGAATACAAATATATGTTTATAAGCCAATTTGAAATCATTAGTTTGTTTCTAATTATTAAAAAAGATACGTATTTCGTGTATAATAACATTTATATTTTAATAATTGTAATTAACAGTAAAATTTAAAAAGATTTTTAAAGTATTAAAACTATGTAATGATAAAGCTTATTTAAAGTAAAAATTTACATTGTTCCCTTGAAATATGGAAATATATTTGTTGATGTAAATCTGTAAAAATTGATTTCAGAACAAATATGTTAGTTTACCTAATTACATCGCTGCAGGATCTTAAGAGTATTGCAATATCAGAATAATGTTCCATTGTAAAATCTTTGTTGCCTTCCGTTAAGATTGACATGATCAACACTTGATAAAAGATGCTACATTTTGAGGTGTGACTGTGAGACATGGATACCCCATTAAAATCGTTGAGCATATTGGTTACGGCGCAAAATATATCTTGTGCAGTATTGAACTCTGATAGATTTTTAACGATGGGAGCAATTCTACATCGATCGACAATCCTGTTAGCGTAAGCGACCTTATCTGAATTCCACCATAGGTCCAACAATATACCCGTTCTTTGTTTTATTAATTTGAACAACTTGAGAACACCGTTACGTTTTTTGGCCATTTCATGGATATCGGGTGTAATGATCGATCGTCCGCAAATCGCTATTTCCATTACTTTTATACTTTGTGAAATTTTCTCCTCAACAAAGCGTAACAGTAACTGAGATCATATATTTAATAATATATCATATATTTATTAAATTTGAAAATAAAAGTTGTAATTTTAAAGTTTTCAACTCTAAGGCTCATACACAAAGCTTATATATATATATATATATATATATATATATATATATATACATCTATATAAATAATAAGTATATACAAGTTTATATCAAAGTGATAAAATCCTGTAAAATATTTTTGTTAGCGTTGAATCTTTTTTTCTTTCAAAGTATTGATAATTTATAATATTCGATAAATGTTTAAATTATTAAATAAAAATATTGAATTTTTACAAATTTTTTAGAGGAATAAATGAAAAAATAACATAATAGTAATAAACTTTATTCACTATTATATAGTTTTATTCTAATAATAAATTTATAGAAATGACAGTATGAATGTTATTGAATATAATATTAATAATGTAACCAAGTTTATGTTTTCAGACCCATTAGCCATTTAATATAGCATTGTCGACATTGAAAAAATAATTCGTTTAAACGACAGAATTTTTTTAATAATGTATATATATATATATATCATTAACAAAATTCTGTCGTTTAAACGAATTATTTTTTCAATGTCGACAATGATATATATATATATATATATATATATATATATCCATACATATTCATAATTTATAAAAATAATATAAACACATTTTCAAGAATCAATGAATAAATTTGGAGTATTTGCATATTAAAATTAAATTAGAATTTATATTTCAGTAATGATTTGCATTTTTATAAAGCTTATTTCGTAAATGAAAATGGCATTTAATTTAACATTTAAATATACTTTAACCAATTTTTTTATCGTGTTTTAGCACTTTTAATAAAATTTCGATTGTTATATTATGTGCTAAAGTCGAATTTTCAGAATAGTGAGTAAAATTGACGAAAGTATTTTAAAGAAGTAAATTGAGATTGAATTTTCCATAACACACAGAAACTTTTGTTCTATTGTAACGATATATGTATTTAAATTGTTTTAATTATATAAATTACAATTGATTAATTATATTTTTAGTTATTTAGCATATATTGTATTTATTATTTTCAATATTTAATAACTATTTTTTGTTTAAAATAAAATTCTTCAATCAGATTAAACACTGGAATTACTTTTTTATTCTTTAAATATTTTTTATTATTTATTTAGCCTGTTAAAAATAAATATAATTAAAAATTATTTTTATATAAAATATTTAATATTATGTAAATTATAAATTAAAATAAATTTAATTTTTTCAAAAATATTCTAGTTCTATTCTAGTTACAAAATTCTAATTGCAAAAACTTAAAAAATAATCTAGACATAATAAAAATGTCTCTAATACTCGTATCGCATGTTAACTGATAGTATAATAATTGCATGATTATCATTTACATATGTACTCTGTATTCATTAAATGAGTATGGTCTAACGTAAAACTAGTTATTAAATATTTTACACTCTCCTCCCTCCGATTAATATAAATTAAATTTATTTAATATTGACCTTACATTCATGTAGTTCAGTGTACATCTCATGTTAGCAATGAACAAATGATTCGTGTAAGTGTGTAATACAGGTTTCCTAACAATATTGCTTTCCGTAGACATGTTCAACCCAGATATGATACAGCTTAATGTCAACGGTGTTAAAACCATTGGCAGAACCTCACCGACATTCGAAAATGTGAGAATATCACTATCGCTAGGTACCCCTGAACCTAAACGAAAAAGCATGTTATTTATTGTAAAATATAGTCAATTTGAATTTAACACTTATGGAAGAAAGAAATCAATGAAAAAGTTCCAATTGTTAGATAAATATAATTTTGTTTTATTTGTTTTTTTATTCATTCTAAGTTTTATATTACTTTTACATTTTTTATAATATCTATAAGTTATAAGATATTTCTATAAAATATAAAATATCTATCTATAAGATATAAAATATATTTTCATGCTTTTAAAAATATAAATTAGTTTTTATTTTTAATCTATTAATTCTTTAATTTTAATAGTATATAAAAGAAATGGTGATTACTTATTTAACTAGTTCTAGAAAATACTTGTAATATTTTTACCCAATTCGTGTGTTAATTCAAAATCCGTCCATGTATTTAAAGATGTAATAGGGCGACACTGAAGTAAATATACATTATCTTGGAATAATGCCCACTCAATATCACGTGGTGCGTTATAAAGCTGATCAAGAGTTACCGCGATCTCGGCTAATTTTAGTGCCATATCTAGGCTAATTGAGAGCTTGAACGTTTCTTCAGTAGATACGTTCATGATATCAGTACCAGAAACATCAATTTTCATGCTGATCTTTTGGGATTTTTTACCAATCATCGAGGTATTTATACTTAACAAATTCCTAGAGTTTCGCTGGACTATGACAGTGTCTGGATCAACCAAAGCCGATACTACAGTCTGAATTTCATATTTTTGATAATTTACATCACATTAATAATTTAATGAACTATCTATTTTAACGAGTCATTAACAAATTTTTAATAATTATTTCTAATAAATAATTCATGTAATTGCAATTGATGTTGAAAATAAGGTTTATAAGAAGGTATATAAGAAAACAGGTTTTAACTAACTAATTTGAAGTAATATGTATTATATTTTTAATGAATTTATCGAATTAGTGGAAACATATACGCTTGCTTATTTACGCTGAACATTTTTGATTTCATACTTACTTCTCCTAGGCCGTAATTAGAGTTAATAAAAATTTCTTTTGGATTTCCTGTTAATGGATGCCTGGTGAACATTACTCCGGCAACATCAGCATTCACCATTTGTTGAATACATACACCCATTAATGCCTTTATTTCTAATCCATTTTGTCTTCTACAAATATATTTAGAAATAGAGTGATTTAAAATGTTTTTCAATGCATAACTAATAAAAGACCAATTATTTGGTTAAAACTGTACAATATACAAAGCATATTTTCAATAACAGAAAATAGAAAGTTATAAATTTAAAGCAGAAAAAATATTCTTAAACTCAATTAATATGTGTTTAATTGAACATTATTCAAATGAAAATACCTGTATTCAACACTTCTATAACTGTATAGACTAGCCCAACAATAAGATACGTATTTTAAAACTTCGTAATCTCCTTTAATTCCGAGATAAGTTGAATTTTGACCAGCAGCAGAAGTATCCTCATTATCTTCTCCTATCGCACTTGATCTAATGGCGTATATATTTTCTGGATTACGTGATTTAAATTGTTTAAGGTTTGTCAGTATTTCTTCTTTTATAATATCAATAACCGGAGTATTTTCCATTAATGATACTACTCTAAAAAAGTAATTATATTATTCTCAAATACAAATTTGGAACATAATTATTTATAAAAAGTTAAACGACTACTTTCCAATTATATATATATATATATATATATATATAATATATTATTACCAGCAATAATGTTTTTCTACAAAATTTTTAATTAATTTTTTTAGGAAGCTTAATATAATAATTACAGTAAATTATATTTTTTCGTGTTATATAATTTTGTATTTTTATTTATATTATATGTAATTATATATATCTACAAAATTTTTAATTAATTTTTTTTTAGGAAGCTTAATATAATAATTACAGCAAATTACATTTTTCGCATTAGTTTTAAAATCCAAAATAAACTTTGTAACGTATATATTTGTTTATAATATTAGAAAATTCGAAATACTTAAAAGTTTAGTCATTACAAACTTACTTTTGAGTATATTCTTTCAAGTCGCCGTTCTTTTCTCCATTACATACTCTTATAAGCAGATTTATAGCTTCTGATAGATTTGTATGACATTTAATATGTAATTCTAATGCATATGTTGTAAGGCAAAATCCTTTAGGAATAAAGAACTATAAGGAATATCAAACTTATTAACATATATTTTTTAAAACGAATAAAAAATATTTTGCAAGTTTACAATAAATTTTTTTACTGTAAATATTGTCAAATAAATAAAATAAAACAAATTATACAATATTAAAAATATTGAAAATAAATACTTCTGTAGTTTTAATTGATGAGAGTTCTGCAATTGATGCTCCTTTTCCCCCAACAATGTTTTTATTTTGACATCTAATATCATCGAAAATGAGAGTGTAAACTATCGAAGATTCATTAAATTCTTGTGATCCAAAAAAGTTTTTTACAAGTGATAATTTTATAGGGCAGGAATTGGAATATGGTTGCCACATTTGAAGTAAGCCAACACCTAAAAACTTATATCTGTCTATTACTTATGAAATTGCTTGATACAAACGTATAATAATTTGATTCATTATTAGTAGGAGAAAGGTTATTATTAAATTATAATAAATATTATAATATATATAGTTATAATATAACTATAATCATATATAACTAAATTATTACTGGGAATAAATAGAACGATTTCGCAATTTTGAATTTTAAGGTTATAATTATAATTATATAGGTAATATTTATTAGTTATATTATAATTATATAGGTAATAATTATTTATTAATGTATAATAATATAATTGTCTAGTATGAAATATCCTAATAAGATACACAAAATTTTAAATAAATATTAAATAGCTATTTAATTTCTCATTTAAAGCGTTAATAATAACAATTTTTATAAAATCAAGATTAATTATACTATATATTTTTACAAATAATTTACAATAATACAATCTTACTAATTTAAAATTTTTTAAATACTTAAAATTAACTCAATGCACATACTTTGAAACTGTGGATAAATTTCTCTTTGCAATAAAACTATTATGAATATTATAATGCTTATATCATTGAATATTGAACTATATTTATAAAAGAAATACCTGACACATTATTTAATTTCATTTTGAAATGATAATATTTGTATTGTGAATCCCATGGATATCCACCATATACTATTTTTTTACTTTCCCTGAGTAATTTTATTATTACCTCATATTTTCTGTCTCCAGCTAAAATAGATAAATTCGAAATATTTAATGTTAGTTATTTTATTTATATAATAAATTATACAAAATTGTAACCTCTAAATTGAAATGTATATTCATCGAAGCCATTGTTATAATAATTTAGAAATTGCTTTATGTTAAAACACAACGAATTAATACAGTGTAAATCATCTATTGGATCTTTTAAGTGTCCCAATTGTATACTGAAAAATAAAAAACTTGTTACCTATAAAAAAATTTTTATTTTATTTTCTCACAAAAGAATATAAACTATAATTCTATAAAAATAATTCAATTAAGTAAAATAGTATTAGAAATTTTGCTTTTAAATAATAATTAATAGTATTTAAAAATAATAATATATATTTAATTTATGTTATAACTGTAAAAAATTTGTCTTATTTATAAAATTATATAATGTTTATTCAATTTAATAAAAATTCGAATAAAAATATTTCTAAAAATTTTAGTTTATATATTTATTAGATATTATTCAATTCACAGTTATTTATAGATAACATTCTGGAATATTTACATTGTGAATGATTTAAATGCAAAAAATTTAACATAGTTATTGTATATTGTTACTTTTTCAATCCCTTGTTCATGCTGCATAAATTTAAGTAAAATGAAATTCCTATAGAATCAAGTGCTACAATGGAAATGTTTGTTTTAAACGGAGTGGCGTCACATTGTCCCCAGTAACATTGCCTTAAAGAGCGCAAATAAAATTCAACGCTTGATAGATCTTCGAATATTATTTTTCCTACAATTGATCCATATTGATGAATTTCGTGAATATTAATTTCATTGCTGTGTTTAAAAAATAAAATCATAAATTTAAGTCATCATAAAGTTACATATTCGCAACTTATTAAAATATTTGAATTTAAAGCAAATTATGTTTATATTTAAAACGAACACATATAGTATTAATAAAATTTATTCCCAAACTAATAATAATATTTATCAATGTGAAATCTATTGTTGTATAGTAATGAGTTTTTTTTAATAAAATTATAAGTATACTACATTAGTTGATGCCATTTTGAGAATTTCCATGAATTTCGAATGAGTGTTTCAGCTTGCAGATCAGAACTCCAAAATTCAGTACGTGGATAAGGTCGAGTACTAGTTATAAAACTACATGATAAAAAAATTATACAATTATATCATTATGTATTGTTAAATTTATTGCTCATCATATAATAATTACTCATATATAAATGTAAGTACAATGTATAAATAAAAGTTATTTTATATAACAGTAATTTTAATTAGCATCAATTGTATATTTATACAAAATTATAGAAAACAATTTCGTAAATTAATATTGTCTTACTCTCAAAAATATATTTGAATATTATTGTAAATATATTTACAATTATTTCACATTAATATTAATAATTTGTTGCATTTCGTTCACACATTTTTGAGTCATACGGTGATTAATATATAAATTATTTTATATTAAATCTAATTAAAACATATTATTGATACTTAACCTGATTTTTTTTAAATAATAATTTTAAAAGTAAAAAATGAAAGATTTATAACAGTACTTTATTTATCAATAATGAATCAAACTTACATACAATTAAAACGTATATGCTCCAAATTAATATTTTCATCAACATTAAGATCTGTGCAGTTGTCTTTTTTTAAAAGACCGTTAAAAATAATACGTGTTCGCTTAGTGGATTCTATAATAGTAATTTTTAAGTTTTCTGTCGACCAAGAGAAATTTTTTCTATTATTTATAATAGTGTTTGGATGATCTAAAATATTTTAATATGTTATTATTTTAATTAATTAATCACGAAAGTTTAAATAAATTGTCAAAAAAATATAATAGCTTACTATATAATTATATTTTTTATTAAATATTAATTCAATTTTATTTAAATCAAATGTATGAAATTATAAATTAATAAATGATACAATAAAATAAATTTAAAAAATACAATAAATAATGTATTAACATTTTTTTACTTATTTTTTGTGCATTCTAGGTTCTGCAAACATATTGTACGTACCAGGTAATACGTATATTGTTCCATCTTGGAAGCCTAAGAACAGTGTTAATTCCGTATATTTATCTTTTCGGTGATTAATTTTTACAAATAGAAAATTATTTTTCTGATCTGCACCATAATAATTTACAACGTTTGAATCCTATTAAAAATATATATTTCATTAGAACGTGTAATTATGTTGTATAAGAATAATTTTTTTAATACTATTATACAAAGATTAAACAAAAAATCGTATTATAGTTACAATAAAATATAATTAGATTACAAATACATTTTTATTTTATCCACAAAGTATCATATAACCATAATTTTAAAATCCAAATTAATATTTACAATTATAAAGAAAGTAAGGTTGTATATATACCGCAAGTAGTTTTCTGAATAAAATTTATAATTGTATTATTTTATAAATAAAAATGTATATTTTTATAGATATAAGCATGTATTTAATAACATTATCAGAAATTTGTTTTCAAATTATAAAAGTACTTGAATACTGTTAAGTTAAATAACTAAAAAAATATAATTTAAAATCTAAACTACTGATAATACTAAAAGATAAAATGTTAAATAATATAATTTTTCAATTTATGGTATTTAATTTATAATAAAAATGTATTTGAAATAATTCATTCACACAAAACAATAATATTTTATTTTTATAAGAAAAAGTAATTTTTTAAAAATTAAAAAAATAAATAAAACAATAGGATAAAAAGTAAATTTTAACAAACTGTATTCTATTATTTATAAATATGTTTTATATGATTTTAATATAGTAATAAAATTTTGAAAAAAATGAATTAATTATTATTAATTAATAAATATTTAATAACGCTCATAATACAAACATTAAATAATTGTAATAATATAAGAATCAACCTTACGTTGTTATTTTCATAAACTCCATCGATTAATTGTTCATTTATGTTACAAATATTTTGAACGTCTCCAATTTTGTTCTTGTTTTTTCTTAAAATCCAATATACGGAAAAGCATTGGATCATCTCAAATATCCAGCCTTTATTGCGTAAATTTTAAATTCCATTATCATGAAAAGGTTACAAATTATAATGCTTATGAACTATGCTATTTTTTTCGTATATGATTGACGAAACTATACTTAAGCTCGTAATGAATTGATGCTACAATAATAAAAGTTTATATAGTATATAAGATATAATATAATAAGAGATTTAATTCATTTGTCATAAAATCTGTTTGCACGCGAAATAATTTAATTATTTATAATTATTTATGCATATAATTATACAAACTATTTCCTTTTATTCTACTATGCTATTTATATTTCGATTTTTAAGATATACTTACAAAAGTTTTACAAATTAAGTTTAAAAAGATACTTAATTAAGCTGAAAAAATGTAAACTCGTAATTATTCTTTCATTTAAACAAATTTACTTATCCTTTTATTAAAATGAGTTGCTTTAATCACCTTTTATTAATTAAAGTAGTATTTTATAATTTTTTAAAAATAATATATAATTTTTAATAACAACGGTTTGTACTTAGAGTGCTTTATATTTTATAAACTATAAGAAATATTTCATTTATAACGATTTTCATTAAAAATTTATAATAGCATTTATTCATTTTCTTAAAAATTGAACGATGAATTTCATACATCGATTTAATTTGATACATCAATCTAATACGATGAATTTACGGGTTGTAAAGATTTATTGATTCATACATTCAGTATACATTTTAATAATACGTAACGTCACTGTATTTAGTAATATAATAGTATATAAGTAATATAATACTATTGGTATATTTAACTTTTTAAACGTTTAGTTTTTATTCATATAAAATAGGAGATCGGATTTTATTTTTTAATTATATTCACAATAATATCAATAAAAATTAATTTTTTTATATGAACAGACATCTTTAATATTACATTTAATTCAAATTTTATTCATATATACTTAGTAGATATGCTATATAAATCTTAATATTATATATAAAATCCAGACATTTGAAGAGACTAGAAAAAAGTTTATATATACTTTCATCTTATATGTAATACTTAATCGGATAATATATAATCAAAATATTGAATGAACCATTATTGTTTTACATTATTAATTTTCTTATATAAATTTAATATAACAAGTCAAATTATGTTTTATATCTTAAATATAGATTAAGAAACTTTAAATATATTCAAATTATATATTATTAAAATTGTATAATATTAATGATAATATAATTCAATTTTACTTATAATAATTCGTATTATTATTATGTTAAAGTAAAGAAAAATATCACTAATTAGACTTCAATCTAAATCGTACATTTAATTCATATAAATTAATGAAATGTACATATTTATCAATTATAAAACATAAATGACTGTTGGTTGTAGTTTAGAGAAATCTTAATTATAGCTAAATATTTATGTAAAATTATTATGTAACTGCGTAATATTTATCTATGTACAATGTATTCAACTTAAAAAGAAGATATTAAAATATAAAATGATTTGGATAATTGATTTAAATGATAAATAAAGTAAATGATTCATTATATGCAGAAAAATGCTTAAATTACTGAACTTTTTTAATTAAAAGATATTCTTGTGTATAAATAATTTTTTTTAATTTCTTTTACTTTCAATTCTATTACTAATAAAAATTTTAATTGATTTCTTATATTGTCTTTAAATATTTAAAAATTGCGAGAGTTATATATAGTCTCTTAGTTTATACCTACTGTACAAGTAATCTATTCAATATTTATTGTATGTATTGTAATATGATAAATCAATATTTAAGAAAAAGTTATAAGGTAAAAAGTTATGATGCCTTTGACTTCATAATTGATTAAAACGGTAAATTAATCTTTTAAAAATATTCAATCAGATAGGAAAATGTATATGCTTTAAGAAAAAGCTATAAGATTCGAAAATGCTTCTTTTATCAATCGTCCTTGATAATCTTATGAATGTTTGCCCAATTAATATAATACATAATTCCATTATATATTAAGTATTTATTAAGCTCTTGAGTATTTACTTGTATTCAGTATTTACAAAGCTCAAACTATATAATGACTTGACAATTCTGTGTTCAGCTTTCGCTTTTAATTAGTTTGTCAAAATATATAATAACATTTTAATTGGATTTTTAAATCTATTTTATTAGTATACTTGCCTAATCGTGCGATGAACCATAAAGATGAGAAGAAGAATGTGAATATTTGGAACAGCTGGCAGATCCACACCGCCTTTAAATATTTATTAGAAGAAATATCAATTTTTTTTAGCTTTTTAGCTTTTTTTCCCTTAAAAACACAATTTTAATTTTTATTTATCTTGTTAAATATATTGATTCATATTCAAACAACATATTTGAAACAAGTGTTAATTATTCAAATCGTTGTAGAATAGAAATTAATTCAATCTTCATTAACGATGTTCTAAATCAATTCTGATTGTAAACAAGTTTAAATAGTATTCATTAATTTATGATTTAATTTTATAACTTACTTATTTTATAACTTAATTTTATAAATCAATAAATTAATGTAAAGTAAATAAACTGAATTATTGTAAATATTAAATAAATTCAATCTCAAATTTTGGATAGTATATACATAATGTTTTTATTAGTAATTCTTTATTAGGTCACAAGAAAAGAACAATAATAATAATTTTTCAAGGTGATTTTGCGAATTCTAATAAAAATATGTGCCATATCAAATTATATATATTTTAATAGTATGAGTACTTATACAAAGATTTATACTATATTTAATAATTTACAAAATGTATTAAATTCAATTATTTTTTTATTATAAAAATATCTTTAGTTCTATTAATTTCATAAAATGATCATATTTATAAAAATCTATTTATTGAACATTTTTATTATACCACTGATTACTATCTTGTGTCAAAGTATAGTACAATAATTATATAAAAATAAATACAAATTTTAAATACTTACTTATTTAAATTATAATAATATTTACTTATATAAATTTTTATAAAATTTATATAGTTGCTTCAATATTATTAAGTATACTTTTAACATGTACTTTAATTATATTATAAATTTTATTATGAACTATTAGTATAATAAATTTAAATGAAAGAATTAAAAATTAATGTTATATTTTTGTTTTTATTTATATAGTTTTACTAACTTTAAGTAAAAGTTTAAATCATATAAAAATAAAAGTTTTAACATATTTAAATTTTACTAAATTTTACATGATTGATTTACATCAATAATATAAGTATTATTATAAATAATACTTATTAATATAAATAATATTCGAAACTAATTCTTTTATATTAGAACATATGCGATTTAAACAAAATTATTTTTATTATTACAATATTTGAGCTTGCTTGCAACGATAAATTAATTTTTATATATATCAATAGTTATATTTGCTAAAAATAAACATTTCAAAATTTATATTTACAATTGGTTTGTTAATATTTTATATAATAAAAAATATATGGTACTGCTATATATAAATTATATATTTAATATTCTATTCTGGGAATTATTTTTCTACCAAAATATTCAATTTCCATTTTAAAATTTTTTTTTTAATTTTCTATACTATGCCTTTTCGATAAATAAAATAAAATAAATATTAAAAATGTATTTTTCAATTAGAGTCTTATGTTCGTTAGTACAA